TAGATGGCATATGTAAGGTATACTAAGGTATTCAACAGGGTATCCCTGGAAAGCCACGGAACGGTGGATAACTGAGGGGGGGGGGTAGCATATATATATATATATATAGAAAGAGCAGCGTCCAAGGGCGACGGACAAATGACCGGACCGCGGGCCTGCTACTGTGGTCGCAATGCGTCGGCCACGCGCATGGCTTGCTTGATGCTGGCAAGTTTGTTCCGCAGCCGTTTGAGGTAGGACACCGTATAGGTTGCGCACACACCATGGATCGCAGTCGCACACCGCCTGCTCGACAATGACGCAAGCATGCTAGAGAAAAACAATAGGAGGCGTGCAACCTTTCCCGCCGACATCTCCACCTCCACCTGGCCCACCTGCTCCCGCGCTGCCACTTGCAAATTTTCCTCCGCAACCAAGAGCACTGGCCATTGACACCGGCCCGCAGCAATGTCTTCGCTCCACCGCCGCTGTTTCGTACTTTAGAGTCCTTGCCTGGACTCGCTCGCGCTGTCTTTTCCGGGTCTAGCCAAACCTCCACGCCCGGAGTGAGGCCAAAGCAACCTGGCACTGCCGCAAGCCAGGCCGGTAGCACAGCCGCATTGCAACTCAGCATTTCCGGAGGCACAAGCGACGTTCACCTTCAGCCGCCGGTCTACCCGAGGATTGGGTCTCGGACAGCGATTACTTAGACGCTCGGCTAGACGTAGCAGTGGCAACCTCAGCTGCCCGGTCGTCTTGGGCTAGGGAAACGAGACTCGCCGGAGTCCCCCTCACCGCCTTGCACCCAGCCCATTTCCTAAACCAGGGATGGAATAGTTCTTGGCTTAGATGGATAGGGCACGACAAACAGACTGCGCACCAAACCTGAGATGGTCCTGGCAGGGGAAATCCTGTCGCAAATCATAAGCCAGGGCCTGGACATTGAAGCAGCAGACGCCAACCTGGCAGTGCAAGCGCAAGCCTCCCAGGCAAGAAAAATTGCCACCAAAGCCCTGGCCCAAGATATCGTGGCGGACATTGAGCAAGTATCCTCGATGGACAGCTCCGTCCGCGGCATGCTGGTAGACAATATCGAGACCACCCAACGACTTCATAAATTACATGAGCGAGTGCAGCGTCTTGAGATCCTTCTGAACGCATGCGTGTAGTACTTATCGTGATGATGCCTTAGCGTGCCACCAAACTGAATGCCCGTGCCTTGCAAGTGTGTTCATGCTTTGTGCTTCTGTTGTGCGCTTCGTTGTTCATTGGCTCCAGGAACTTGGTGTGCTTGTGTGTTGGTTTTTCGTCCTGTAGCATGATGCAAGCATTGCCCCAAGACATATTGGAGAAGATTTGCAGCTACCTCAAATTACTTCAACACCCTTCAGCTAATTTGGGGGTCACCGATTGGGCAACCTCTTCGGCTAGTGTTCGACCCTCGATTGGGAGGACGTTGCCTACAACGCGCCGGAGGTAGTGAGGGCATGGTGCCTCAAGTTTGGCATCCGCCCACAGATCCGCATGCATACTTCTCCTTACTCGTGGACCGCTTCTCTACAATGCAATCATCACAACATGGCAGTCACGGCCAGACTGGGCAGGCATTGGTGCAGAAAGTGGTCAGCTTTAACGTCATGCACATGGCCAAGCTCAGTGGTCGCTTTGATAAGAAGCCTGATTGGCACAAGTCGTCATGGCTTGACAGCGTCTGGATGGACACTGAGCCTTTAGCATACATGCGACCTCTCCAGAGTAAGGCACCCATCAGCTTGGACTCAGGTTGCAGCGCTCAGGACAAAGGGAGCGAGGTGCGAGGTGCCTTCTCACAGCTGTGCGCATGTTCTGTTTGGGTGCTTTATGATGCTTTCGCAGCCATTTCCCGCCTCGGTGAGATGGCGGACAGAGACCGCAGCCGAACTGCCAAACCGGAGCCAGCCTTTTGGCGCTGGACATGGCGCTCCACCCCCCACAGGGTGGCAATGGTTTGAAGTGACAGCACGACCTCTGAAGCGCAAGCGCAGTCACTCCATGTAAGGGGGATTTGGCCTACCCAAAGACTCCAATATCCCTTAATTAAGGAATATACCTTAAATCATATAGGGGATCCTACTATAATTTAAGGTATATTCCTTAATTAAGGGATATTGGAGTCTCTGGGTACTTCGTTTTGATGTTGAGAGCCACTCAACAGCTTGCATTGAGTAAGAGAGCTGGCCGAAGCCTTTTCGGAAGCCCTTCATTGAATTTGCTGGCCCATAGTGCCCAACGAAGCTGTGCATCAGAGAGGGAAGCCAAGCCTGATCAGCTTGGTGTACCTGCACGCAGGCCAGCCAAAATTACCCCAAAGAAGCAGTTGTTTCCACAAATAGGCCAGCCAAAAATATCCCAAAGAATCTGTTGCTTCCACAACTGGCCTTCCGTGATTCTGTATTGTTGCCGCCATCTGTCGTTTTTTGGTCCTGTCGGTCGCTCACTGCAGTCAGTCGTGCCGAGCTGAAATGAAAGTGCGTGCATGCTACCGTTAGTTGACCGTTGACACACCTCCTACTTGTCGCATTGTACAAGTTGGAAGGGTAAAATGTGCAAAGGGCAAAAACTGCTTCACAGAAGACTCTGTGAGGCTATGCTATGCTTTATAAGACGCAATGTACATATATGTAGGTAACATATGAAAGAACGGAAGATGTCCGCCTTAGTTCGGGGTTTGAAGGGCCTTGGAGCTTGTGGTGCCCTGTTGCCGACATTTGCCGACGTATTGCAGGAGCGGGGCGACACACCCGAGTCCTTTGCGTGTCTGACTTGCAACTGGTAAATCCGATGGCGTTTTGGTGATAAGGCGTGTTGGTGTCCTTATCGGATGTCAGGCAAGTGTTTGGTCGGAATTGATGAAATTGAAACGTTGTGTGTATGTTGGCGTATATCTACGTGGCAGGTTTCGGCAATTTGTTCGCGCAGGTCGCTCTGTTGGCCTGACACATACTGCGCATTTTTCAAGACGGCTTCACTAATGCACACTTTTGCCCGAGGATCGTCAACCGCCACGACCACCTGATCCCCCATTTGGCCACGTTCCCCACCTGAATGCTGAGGCTCCTGCTCAATCTTGCTTGCTTTTCGGGGACGGATTGCAAGTAAGATAACTTAACTCGGCATCCAGCCATTTTCATGAAGCGACAGGGCGAAATGCAGCTTCTTGTGCAGCCAGGTTTGTCCACTCCATGCCAGTTGAGTTCGGGACATGTCACTGGAGTTGCAGTAATGCTTGCCTACGGGTCCTATTTCTACATACCGAAAGCCACCCTGCAAGAACATAGGCAAAAAACCAAGTGATGTGGGCTTGTAGCCCCCCTCCTTCCACCATAGTGTCGCTTGAGAGACTGAAGTTCATCCGTGCGGCGGAAGGCTGCCCTTGCTAAGCTCAGGCAGCCAGCTTTGTCTCATTTCCTGCCAAGCAGGACAATTCAACATATTTGCAGGTTCGTCGGACAAGCCCGACAGACAAGCAAGCGGGCTTCTCTTGCCCGGGCGTCCGAGCCATGTTGTCTGCGGGGCATGAAAAACACGTTTCTAGACTCAACACACCAGTTAATCTTCTCACCACATGTCGAACGAATCAAATCTGCCGCTGGAGGACCGCACTTTGAGGCCGAGGCACATGCCTGAAGCTGGAGCTCAGTTTGCGTTCTATACTGTCACGGCAAGCATCACAGTAGCTACACTCATTTCCGTATCCCAGTTGCTAAGTTTGTTTGGGTTTGGACAAACGAGTATCCGCAACAAGATGGACTCAGGTGCATTCACCAGAAGGGAACATGAGCCGCCGCCAGGCATGCATCAAAGATATAGTGGCCGGCCCGTTTCGCATGCTTTCCTCCGTCGGATTGGGTGGGTTTTAAGCGTTCAGCGGTTCTTGTAAAATTTGGCGAGTAGGAATGGTTCGATGGCCAATGTGCCGTCGTGTCTTCTCCTATGCTGTTTTGCAACAGCTTGCCAGATGGGGAGCCGAGCCGGACAAGACTTGCATATGATGCAACTCTTAGGGTGTTTGGTAGTGGATGATTTACGTATAGTGTCCTCGTCAGTGTTGTCGAGATTTTCGGCGCTCCTCTGGGTTATTCTTGGAGGATTCAAGTTGATCTCAGTCTGTTGCCCAGACGGCGGGCACTGGCCACGTTGGGGCACGAAATGTCACGAACACACGCATGTCCTCACCTTGCAAGAACTTTTACAAAAGCCCCAAGTCTGTTGTCAGAGCACTTGCCGGCCGGAGACCAGACTGTCAAGTTTAGTTAGGAGGTCTCTCCACCTGGTCCTGTAACTCTCCGTATCTCTCCAACATTTGCCAGGTGACGAGTCGGCGGTGAAGAGATCTCATTCCTAGGATGCCAAATGCAACGGATTGCAGCCAGACGCGCGCGCACTACTGATTAAAAGCGAAGATGCACCTGAGCATTGCAAGCGACCCACCCCAACATTCAAGATTAATGTCGGGTCTGGAAATGCACAGGAAACCATTGTAATCCTGTTCTGAATTCATTCTTCGGATTACTCGGGACGGCAGCAAGCATTCGATCCTTCTGGCCAGAAGGCATCACATCCACATTCCGCTATAGTGGGATCCAGCGCGATGTGAGCACTGTTTCAATTCCAGTGTAAACATAAACATCTGGGGTTTGGATTGTTAGGGGTCAGGTTTGTGGGGTTTGTGCTTGTTGCAGGGTCGAGGGGTCAGAGTTTGAGAAGTAGGCAGACTCCTTTCTGCGAGAACGAAAGGGAGACAGGGTTCAGGGTTTGTAGGTAGGTTTTTGTGACGGCTCACCCACTGAATATCCCTATGGTCTTACCTCATGTGCAGGGTCAGCAACTCGAGCCTGTGTGGTTGCGAGGGTGTGTCGGGGGTTTAAGGGTCCAGGCAAAAGGGTCTAGGATCTTGGGCCGAGGCTTAGGGCTTTATTTTGCGGATGGGAGGTTTTGAAGTTTTCAGGGTGCTCGAGGGTCGTTGGATGTTTTTGGGTTTATAGTGGCAGCGGTTTTCTTTAACATCCCGGGAAGCCGAAGGTAGTACCTTCAATGCGAATCTACGGCCGTCAATGGGCCGTATTCACCAATCAGCCCGTGAGCTGCTTCGCCGCTAAGTGCGCGGATCGAATGTTGAATTTCTGGTGACTCTGGTGTGTGAAGCGGTGTCTTTCATTGCATATTCCTGCACGATACTCGCGTCAAACCCCACACTGCGACAAGCACACCTGCTCTCAGTTCAAGGCGCTTCTGACAAAAATCAGCATATCAGCAAGCATGCGACTTTAACACTGGCATGTGGAGCAGGCAAGCAGGAAAGTAGATAAGTTTCGGTTCCCTGCGTTGCTCGCTGATGGCTGGAGCCTCGGTTGCTTCGGCAGCCTTCCCGCGCTTTCACAGTTTCGCCGTTTCCACAAAAGCCCACCGAAGAAACCCGGTGAGGTCCTCCGGCTGGTGCTGGTGGCCGGACTGTTGGGCATTCCTTGGGCCGAAGAGAGAAAGCTGGAGGTCACAGAAAGCCAAGGCCCTCCCCCCCTCCGGCCTTCAGCGTACGACCCCTGACTCTGGACTTGAGGCTTTGCTGCAGGCCAAACCGGCGAGTGAGCCCTGCATGTCGCTTTTTTTTTGCGAGTCGCACATAGGGACATAGGGTCTGGTAAACATCAGGTAAGCAAGCCATTAGAAAAGAAGTTCGAGGTGTGCTCGTTCAAACTTTCGAACTGTGTTTGTTTCTGGATTGAAGGCATGTCAACGAGATACTGGCGGATAAAGGCTTGGACTCGAATGTCGGGTCGATACGACCCCTGAAGACTTGTGCTTGTCCGTTAAAACTAGATAAAGCCAGGTACTTCCGATACAAGCACATTTTCCACAAGAAACCCAGCGGCGAGGATTTCCAGCATGCGCAAAAGGTTGCAGAAGAGGCACTCCGCTCAGCTTGGCAGCAGGACTGTAGGTGGAACACATCTGCATGCCTGTGTGTGGCCAGTGTTCCCGGTTCATGGCGGCCAGCAGTTTATGCTTCTGCATTGATGCTGCGCTGTTGCGGGCTCTGCATGAGTAGCTGCCCCGAGGTACGATGCATAGTGTGTGTCTGCCACCAAGCAACGACTTGTTGAGCTGTTCGATGGTCACATCATGCGGCGAACAAGCTGCAGCCGTGAGATTCAGGGAGCATTCGTCTTGCATCTGAGCTTTCGCCAGCTCAGGCCAAAATACTTGCATCCCTGCTAGCAAAGGCACGTTCGTTCAGCGAGGACTGGACAGGATCATGAGCTCATCCTCTTAGCTGGAGCAGAAGCATGCAATGGCTACCGATGCTTAGAGCTTCTTATTGATGAGCCTGCCACGTGCCTCTTGACAGGACGACATAGCAGATGTTTTGGAAGGCAATGCAGAATACGATAGGACCGGTGATCCCGTGACGGTACCTTGGCAGCAAGTCAGACAGGTAGTTGTATTTCTCCGGAATGCTTCTTACAAAGAGTATGATGTCGTTGGTGCCGATGATAGGGAAGAGCCGAGGACCAAATGCTGAAGCACAAGCGCGGGTGTAACAAGCACTTCAAGGAGGGCTGCTGGCAGCTCCCAGTCCCAGCTCCACCAGCAATGCATTCTGCTTACTTGTCCACTCTGAACGACGGACCAGACCAGCCACGCTCCGGAGTGCTGCTTTCACCGTCAAGCAAGTACTTGGCAACAGGAAGCTCCAGCTAGAGACTTGCAATTTGTAGCTTAAGCAGCAGCGCGTTTCGGCACTATCATCGTCTCTTACATCACCACCCCGCGGCCGTCATCGTTGTCTTTGTCGTCTCCATCCCTCAGAGCCTTGCGGCCGGATGGCCTCGCCCTCGAGTGGGCATCGTCCTTCCCTGGAGAGATTGGAAACCAAGGTGCGGTTCACGTAGGTGCTGTCCATGTTCCCAAGCTTTCGATGTGCCGGGAGGGGGAAGGCAGGTAAAGAAGCACCGTCCGACGCAATTGGCTGTTAGTTTATTGTTGTCTTACACATGTTCTTCCCAAGGATCAATGACAATTTCATTTATGTCTCTACCAACTGCACTGGCAACTATGCTGCCCTGGCTGCTGATGCTGCCTGCCACTGCTTTTGCTGCTGCCGCTGCTCTGCTGCTCCTGCCACTGCTGCTCCTGCCTCTGCTGTATCTGCTGCTCTTTATGCTCTTGCTCGTCTTTCTGGCACTTCCGGCTAGCGGCTACCACTGCTACAGCTGCTTCTGCTGCCGGTGCTACTACCATCGCCGGCACGACGACGACTACTGCTACCGCCCGCCGCCACGGTGGTAGTGGTGTAGGTGTTGTTGTAGCAGTAGTAGTAGTAGCAGTAGTAGCAGTAGTAGTAAGTAGTAGTAAGGAGTGGCAAGTAGTGGTAGCAGCAGCAGCAGCAGCAACAGCAGCAGCATCAGTAGTAGCAGAAGTAGAAGTAGAAGTAGAAGTAGAAGTGGAAGTGGAAG